AGTGGGGGGGGGTAATGTGGGGATAAGGACACATATGTAACAACTTAATCAATAAAAAACTTAAAAAAGAGAGAGATTCAGGAATGCTGCCCAAGAGGCCCTAGCTCGTGCGTCTCTGTTAGCCACACCAGCTCCCATCTCTGAGGACTATGTTGCCACAAGGAAAGCAAGGAAGAGAATATACCTCCTGTCACTGATGCCCCGGACAGTGGACAGTCCACGGTAGGGAGAGCAGGTGCAACGGGCCCTGCCAGCGCTCACCTTGGCGCACCTGCCAATCCCATAGCAGTTCGGAAAGGGGCCATAGAGAGTGCTGAGGAGGTGCAAGGCCTGGGCCACAGTGTTGATCCAACGCTGGTCTCCTTCCTGCAGGGACCATGGGGGTCACAAAGACGGGGGTCAGCCGGACAGACCCATCAGGATGGCGCTACCCCTGGAGCCCGGGGACAGAGGCAGGGCGTGGGGAATGCTTGAAAGAGTTCCTGTGACTGGCCCCAAAGGACACAATCAGTGGCATTCAATCTCCCAATCACTGTCATGCATAATAAGTGACGGGACTGCCTGAGCCAGTTTGGCTCAGTGGCTAGAGCATCGGCCTGCAGATGGAAGGGTCCTGGGTTCGATTCCAGTCAAGGGCACATGCTTGTGTTTGGGGCTCGATCCCCAGTGGGGGGCGTGCAGGAGGTAGTCGATCAATGATCTTTCTCATCATGGATGTTTCTCTCTCTCCCTCTCCCTTCCTCTCTGAAATCAATAAAAATATATTTAATAAATAATTTTTAAAATTACGGGACTTGGATGAAGGTGCATCAATATTGCTAGCCCACTGGACCCCCTGTTTGTCCCCAGCCGTCGATGCCAAGCCCAAGGGCCCCGCCTTTACCAGGAAGTAGTCCCTGAAAAATTCAGGTAGCTCCATGCTCAGCAGATCCACATCGAGAGGCAGCAAAGAGAAGGCCCATTCGTCGCAGCTCACATCTGTGGGGACAGAGACATCAGCCTCCCTGCAGAAGGCGCGGGGCTCCACCTTCAGGGGGAAGGCCCACCGGTTGCCTAGAGACGTCTGAGTGCCTCCCCAGGGGGGTGAGACCCCCCCCGAGGAGCTCAGAGTCTGGTAACAAAAGGAGACGTGTACACGACAGCCTGTCATTCGATGTGACAAGGGGTGTGTTTTCATTATAAGGAAACATTCATTCCTGACTCGGCAAATACCAATGGAATGGCAGGCGTGTGCAGGCACTGGGCTACACAGTGGGGAAGAGAATGAATGTGCCCCGTGTCCTGGGGAGACCCTTACAGGCTAGTGCAGTGGTTCTCAACCTTCTGGCCCTTTCAATACAGTTCCTCATGTTGGGACCCAACCATAAAATTATTTTCGTGGCTACTTCATAACTGTAATGTTGCTACTGTGATGAATCATCATGTCAATATCTGATATGCAGGATGGTCTTAGGCGACCCCTGTGAAAGGGTCGTTCAACCGCCAAAGGGGTCGCGACCCACAGGTTGAGAACCGCTGGTCTAGTGGAAGAGACACGCACAAAGCAGATGTAATTACAGTTGTGCCCCAAGCCATCCATGAGCACAAACATCGCAGGGTCTAACCTCACACAGGGGTGCAGGACAGACTTCCCTAAAGCAGTGACTTTTAGGGTGTGACCGTAAGTAAGATGTGGGTGGGTGTGGAGTGTAGGATGGGGAATATCCTGGGCAGCAGGAAGAGCACCTGTGATGTCCCCATGGCTGGAGGGCAGTGAGGCAGGAGAAAGGAGCGCACGTGACAGGCAAGGGGCCGGGAAGGGACCAGGAGGCAGAGGCGGGGACCCGGGCTTTCTCCTGGCCACTGCAAGGCGCCTGAGGGGGGTGCCGCCTGCAGGTGGGTGTTGAGTGGAGAACGCAGTGAGCGATACACAGGGAGGGAAGGCACATTATTTCCCTGTGGGAGTCTTGGGAGGTAAGGACAGAGCAGTTGGCGGTTAGCAGCGATAAGCCCTCGCATCCTCTCCCACCGTCCCCCTGCTTCCCTGCTCAGGCACCTCTCCTCCCGCTGGGCCAGCAGGAATGAGACAGGAAGGGGAGGGGTCGGGGTGGGGGAGGACACTGTTCCTTCTGCATATGCGGCCCCTTTCCAGGCTCTCATCTCTCACCTCCATAGATCCCCTCTTCCTCAAGCACCATCTCACAGGCATAAAACTGAAAGAGAAAAGGAAGCTGGTTAGCAAACACCGCCCCTCTCTTCTTTCCCTCCTTGGAGTTCCCCCAGGATCACTGACAGGACAACACTGACTGACCCAGTAAGAGAACCCAGACGCTTGGATCTAAAAAGGGCACCAGGCCCAGCTGACATGGCTCAGTGGTTGAGCGTCAACCAGGAGGTCACGGTTCGATTCCCGGTCCAGGGCACATGCCCGGGTTGTGGGCTCGATCCCCAGTGTGGGGCGTGCAGGAGGCAGCTGGTCCATGATTCTCTCTCATCGTTGATGTTTCTCTTCCTCTCCCTCTCCCTTCCTCTCGTACTGGAATCACGGAGCCCAACTCTTTGCTCCCTGGAAGAGCTTTGCAAAGGAGAAGGCGCCGCAGCTGTCATGGAAGGGCCATGCAGAGGCCGGCTCTCACGTCCCAGTCTGTACTCGGGGCGGCTTGCCCACAGACCCCCTGCTACACAATCAGGCCTACGCTAATGAGGCAGCAGCAGGTGGTCGTCATCACACATCTGCTTTCGGGGAGCTGGAGCTGTGGGCCCCTGGCCCCTTCCCCGCCCCGAACCCTGTCCTGCCCGATGCCACTGCCATCGGGACCCAATCTCACCTTCTGAGGGCTGAAGATCACTTTGTATTTTCGCGTTCGGCCGGCCAACTTGTCAGCATTGACGAGATCTGCAGACAGAGGGAACGCGACCCAGAAAGCCGTGGGCCACGTGTGAGGTGAGAAGCAAGGGAGCAGTTACCCTTTTATTTATTTATTTTTTAAATATATTTTTATTGATTTCAGAGAGGAAGGGAGAGGGAAACAAACATCAATGATGAGAGAGAATCATTGACCGGCTGCCTCCTGCACGCCCCCTACTGGGGATGGAGCCCGCAACCTGGGCATGTGCCCTTGACCGGATTCGAACCTGGGACCCTTCAGTCTGCAGGCCAGGGCTCTATCCACTGAGCCACACCCGCTAGGGCTCCTTTTTTTTTCTTTTAATTCTTTATTGTTAGAAGTATTACATGTTTCCCTTTCCCCCCATTGACCTCTTCCCACCTGCTCCTGCCCTCCAGCACAGGCCCCCACCTCCCTACTGACTGTGTCCAAGGGAGCAGTTGTCCTTGACGTGACATGGCCAACCCCAACGCCTCTTCACTTATGAAAGGGTCCCTGCGGCCGAGGCCCTTAGATCTCACCCCCCTCCCCAGGACTCAGTGACACGGAGCACCACGCCATACTCACTGGCTATGTATCGCATGTTCTTGATGCGGGGTCTGACCAAGAAACACAATCTATGGGAGAGAAAGGGGAGAAACTCAGTGAAGGGAAGTCATGAGGTTGGTGACAGACAGCGCCACCTGAAGAAACTGAAACAACACCCCACTCTTTCACCATCTGCTCCTCTCGACCGGCCGACCGTTCCCAGCCTCGCCACAGCCGGGCCTGCTCTGACCACAGACTCCCTCCCGACATCAGGGACACTGTGCTCAGCATATGGCCCCTCTGGGGTACCCGGAGTTCCTGTTCTCAAATAATTTACAATCTGTCAGGCGAAATAAGGTGCACACATGTATAAAGTATCAAACACGTGTTTAAAAACAATACAGAAAGTTGTCTGGACAGCATGGCTCAGTGGTTGAGCATCGAACTAGGAACCTGGAGGTCACAGTTCGATTGCTGGTCAGGGTACTTGCCTGGGGTGCAGGCTCGATCCTCAGTGTGGGGTGGGCAGGAGGCAGCCCGTCAATGATTCTCTCTCATCATTGATGTTTCTATCTCTCTCTCCTTCTCCCTGCCTCTCTGAAATCAATAAAAATATATTTTTTAAAAATACAAGAAGGCATATAAAATGTTTTTCCAACTTGGATGTATTCTCCATGTACCCAGGAGAATTTTTCCTCTAAGACGGGGGTCGGGGGTTCTATATTACTTAAGATTGAAAAGTATTAAAAAGAAAAACAGCCCTAACCGGTTTGGCTCAGTGGATAGAGCATTAGCCTATGGACTGAAGGGTCCCAGGTTTGATTCCGGTCAAGGGCATGTACCTTGGTTGCGGGCACATCCCAGTAGGAGGTGTGCAGGAGGCAGCTGATTGATGTTTCTCTCTCATCGATGTTTCTAACTATCCCTCTCCCTTCCTCTCTGTAAGAAATCAATAAAATATATTAAAAACAAAAAACAGCCCGGCTGGTGTTGCTCGTTGGTTAGAGTGTCGGCCCAGGAACCGAAGCCTCTCAGGTTCAATTCCCGGTCAAGGGCATGTACCCAGGTTGCCGGTTCGATCCCAGGCCCCGGTCAGGGCTCATGCAAGGAGCAACCAATCGATGTGTCTCTCTCACATGGATGTTTTACTCTCTCTCTCTCCTCGGTTTCTCTGTCCTTCCCTCCCTCCTTTCCACTCTCTCTGAAAAAGCAATGAAAAAAATATGCTCTGGTGAGGATTTAACTAAAAGAGAAAAGGAAAAAGGAAAGAAAAACAAAAAGCAGACAACAGGCAGTGAGTGTGTGACAAATACTAAACACCCTGGAGATCCAGAGGAGGAAGGCTTCATGGAGGAGGTGGCACTGGGCTCTGAGGGCTGGGTATGTCTTACAGGAGCAGTGAGGACAGGAGGGAATTTCAAGGCAGAGTGAATGGAGTGGCCAGAAGGGGGATGCCACGTGCATGTAGCTGGGAAGCATGTGAAAGCATGTGTCCAGCAGAGGCTTGAGGGCCCCGTGAGAGACCAGGCTGCAAAGGCAGCGTGAGGCCCAACTGAGGATTCCCTCGGCTTCCACGATGAGCAATCTGCACTTGACTCGGTAAGAGAAGACTTGATGGTTCCTGAGAAGAGCACGGTGAAAAAAAAATATATTTTTAAAATATATTTTTATTGATTTCAGAGAGGAAGAGAGTGGGAGAGAGAAACATCAATGATGAGAGAGAATCACTGATCAGCTGCCTCCTGCACGCCCCCTACTGGGGATTGAGCCCAAAACCCAGGCATGTGCCCTGACTGGGAATCGAACCGTGACCTCCTGGTTCATAGGTCGACGCTCAACCACTGAGCCACACCAGCCAGGCAATGAAAACATTTTTGAAAGCTTCATCAATCTGGTTAGAGGTGGCAGACTAGACGAGAGGAAGAGGACAAGGGAGGGAGAAACTGCAGAAAGGAAGACGGAACAAGGGGCTAAAGCATAACCTCGCATGCAACTGTCCAAGAGCAGGGAGGGGAACGGTATCAGAAGCATCACGCTGCCAGATCTCAGCCACGGACGCATCAAGGGAAAAGTGCAGGGACGTCCCCCGGCTTGGAGGCGACCCGGACGCCCCAGACACTCACTGTTCACTGGAGCTCAGGACTGGCTTGTTCTCCACCTTGTACAGCTTGTCTACTTCGTGTTGCTGCCAAGAGAAGCCAACAAGACAAGGGACACAGAGTGCTTGGAAACCCACAGCATGACCCAAAAGCAGGGACTTGGGCTCCTAGCCAAGCTAATTCTGGGGATCAAACTGCCTCCCTGACAACCATTCACTGAACCTTCCCCAAACTGTCAACAGAAAAACCAAAAATAAAACAATTCAAAAACAATAGATAATACCATCCATTCCAACTACCCTCTATTTACCCTACAATGGTAGTCACTCTTTAATAATTTGTACTGTTCATCAAAAGAAAACCTGGCCAGGCTGGCGTGGCTCGGTGGTTGAACATCGACCTATGAACCAGGAGGTCAGGGTTCGATTTCTGGTCAGGACACATGCCCGGGTTGTGGGCTCAATCCCCAGAGGGGGACTTGCGGGAGGCAGCCGATCGATGATTCTCTCTCATCATTGATGTTTCTATCTCTCCCTCCCTCTCCTTCCTCTCTGAAATCAATAAAAATATATTTTAATGCCGAGGCCAGTTTGGCTCAGTGGATAGAGCATTGGCCTGCAGACTCAGGGGTCCCGGGTTCGATTCCGGTCAAGGGCATGTGCCTGGGTTTCGGGCACGTCCCCAGTGGGGGGTGTGCAGGAGGCAGCTGATCGATGTTTCTCTCTTGTCAATGTTTCTAACTCTCTGTCTCTCTCCCTTCCTCTCTGTAAAAAATCAATAAAAAATATATTAAAAAAAAAATCGTAACTTAAACCTAATTTGACATAAAATAGCAATAAAACAGCAGCAGCCAGTACTTTTATGGTACCTCCTGAATTCTTAATGCAGGGTCTGCACTCAGCCGGCGGGCCAAATGCAGCCCCACCTGTTTCTGTGAACAGTCTTATTGGCAGCTGCTTCTACAAACTCAGAAAGAGCAAGTAGTCCACCAGCAGAGGCCACCTGGCCTGCAAGCCTAAAAACACTGAGTGTCTGGCTCCTTACGAAAAGAAAGAAAAACTGCTTAATGAGGAAAGAATCTGCCTGGAGGAAAGGGCAGGTACCTTTAGGATGGAGACGCTGGCGATTCGATCCAAAGGGCTCATGAGATCGGCCTCAATGAACAAGTCCTTTTTTCCTGGAAGCTGAAGACACACAGTAAGTAGTATCCTGGGTCACTCCTAGGTCACACACGCTCCCTCGCTGACAGCTCACGCGGCCACATGTCTACCAGAACCCCAGTCTCGGAGCTGGAAGGACGCCAGACATCACCTACCCCGGCGCCTGATTTACTGTTGACATCATATCAATAGTTGACATTTCTCTATATACGCACCTATTTCGTCTTCTCATTTTCTGCACCAGCAGAAAAATATTTCACCTTCTTTCTAAGGTTAACTCCTTGTCACTCAGCCCTCCTGCTGGCCTGTGACCTTGTCCTGGATCACTGCCCGCTTCTCCACCGCCTCCTCCACTCAGCCTCCCCATGGTCCCCGTCTCCTGCTGGACGAAGCCAAGCCAAACCAAACCCCACCCACACCCCGCAACCCCTTGAACTGCCAAATCTCTCTCATTTTTTTAATCCTCACCCGAGGACATTTTTCCATTGATTTTTTTTAGAGAGAGTGGAAGAGAGAGGTAAAGACAGAGAGAAATATTGATGTGAGAGAAACACATTGATTGGTTGCCTCCTGCACTTGCCCCAACCAGGGCCTGGGCCGAGGAGGAGCCTGTAACCGAGGTACGTGCCCTTGATGGGAACTGAACTTGGGACCCTTTGGTCTGCAGGCCGGAGCTCTATCCACTGAGCCACACCGGCCAGGGCCCAACTCTCTTTTTAAGTAGCATTTTCCTTCTAATTACAAAAACTGCCTGTGTTCAACACGGAAGAGTTAGGCCAGGGCAGTCCTCTCCCTAGTATCCCCCACTCACCCACCCCAGATCCCTGTCATCTGATTCCGGCATCACCACTCCTAACACTCCGTCACCTGGCCAGGGAAGGTAAGGTCGCACTGAGTGGCAGGGGGGAGGGAAGTCATTTCAAGCTTCCTCTCAACGAGGCCTGGACAAGTGTGTGTGTGGGGGGGTGGGGGGGGGGTAGTGGCAGTGACTCAGTTAGAGGGCAATCCAGCAAAGGACAGGGAAAGAGAACAGGCTGAACCGCAAGATCAAAACCAGCAATTCAGGTGGGCTGATGCATAAGGTCCATAGGGGGCAGTAGTTTTCAGTCCGGATGTAGGGGAAGGGTGGAAAGCAAGATTGAAACAGTTGTTAGAGGGTCTGGAATTGATCCTCTATGGAACGGGGCGGGGGGCGGGTGTGTGTGTGTGTGTGTGTGTGTGTGTGTGTGTGTGACTTTTGTGCACTGACGCATCCTATCAGCTGGGAATGTCAGGTAGATGAACCTGGGACTTGTGGGTGAAAGGGATTGGAGACAGGAGAAACTGGAGGCAAGGGGCCCACTTATGGGGTTGCTGCCACAGTCCATGCAGCCCAAGCGTGTGGCAGTGAATGAGGACCTGCTTTCGTCTGGCTGGTGGTGTGAACAAAAGACGTTATTCAAGAGACACCTGGAGCCTGGCTGGCGTGGCTCAGCGGTTGAGCATCGATCTATGAACCAGGAGGTCGAGGTTCGGTTCCTGGTCAGGGCACATGCCCAGATTCCGGGCTACCCAGGAGGCAGCCAATCAATGATTCTCTCTCATCATTGATGTTTCTGTCTCCCTCTCCCTTCCTCTCTGAAATCAATAAAAAAATATATATTTTAAAAAAGACACATGGAATGTGTAATAGGATTTTTTTAATACTTGAAAGAAATGAACAGTGTTAACAGTGCTTATATCTGATGGCAAGATTATGTGATTTTTTCCTTTATCCTTTCCTTTATCTTGTACATTTTCTATAACGTGCAGTATTTTTATCATCACTATTATTAAAAAGTCAGGTGGCAGGAGATATCCATAGGACTCAGGAACTGATTCAGTTAAGCATGAGAGGGGAAGGAAGTTCACCTGAATAGCAACGCCCATTAGCAAAAGTTAAGACACAAGAAGCTCCCTAGCTGGTTTGGCTCAATGGATAGAGCGTCAGCCTGCGGACTAAAAGGTCCCAGATTCGATTCCGGTCAAGGGCATATGCCCGGGTTGTGGGCTCGATCCCCAGGAGGGGATGTGCAGGAGGCAGCTGATCCATGATTCTCTCTCATCATTGATGTTTCTATGTCTCTCTCCCTCTCCCTTCATCTATGAAATCAATAAAAAATATATTTAAAAAGACACTAGAAGCTAGTTGGAAGAGGATACTGGAGCACTGAAACCCACGCGGGCCGTGTTGAGTTGTCTCTGTGGCCACTCGTCCCCACCTACACCGCATTTACAAGTTTCTTGATCCATGATTCTCTCTCATCATTGATGTTTCTATGTCTCTCTCCCTCTCCCTTCATCTATGAAATCAATAAAAAATATATTTAAAAAGACACTAGAAGCTAGTTGGAAGAGGATACTGGAGCACTGAAACCCACGCGGGCCGTGTTGAGTTGTCTCTGTGGCCACTCGTCCCCACCTACACCGCATTTACAAGTTTCTCTCCTTGGTCTCATTTGCTCTTTGATGTGGCTTCTCGCCTGAGCTAGTGGCTTTAACTAGCATCTCTTCAATTCCTGACATTTGTTGAGAGTAACTTTCATGTGCAAATCAGGGCACGTAAAAAAGAAATAAAATATGGCCCCAAACCCCCCGAGTTTCTCTCAAGTCCCCGTCTGCCTCCCGGCTGCAGCTCTACATTTCCATCTGCTGGACGTTACGAGCAGTATTTCCCACCAGCATCTTACCTTCATCCTATCCAAACCCAAACTAATGAGCTTTCCCCCCACCAAACCTGTTCCTCTTTCTAATTCCTTTGTTTAAAAAATATTTTTTAAATTTTATTTCAGAGAAGAAGGGAAAGGGATAGAGAGATAGGAACATCAATGATGAGGGAGAATCATGGATCGGTTGCCTCCTGCACGCCCCCCACTGGGGATCGAGCTGGCAACCCAGTCATGTGCCCGGATTGGGAATCGACCTGTGACCTCCTGGTTCATAGGTCGACACTCAACCACTGAGCCACTCTGGCCAGGCTCTAATTCTTTCTTTTTTTTCATTTCCATTCAATGTTCATACAACAAGTATTTATTAAGCCCATGCCACGTGCCTGACTCCAAGCAAGGCACTCACAGTGTTAAAACAGACATGTTCCCTGTCCTCAATGACCTTCCAACCTAGCGGGGAACATGGACATTAAACAAATAACTATGTATGTCACAGTGATATTTACAATGACAGCAGCAGCATTATTTCCCTGTTGACCCAAGTTTACCATCTCACACTCAGCTTTGCTTCTCCCTCGGCCTTTACAACCATCAATAAGCCTTTGAATCTTCTCTCACCATGACTTAAAATTCCATCATTCCCCTCCTCTCCCCAGGTCACTAATTCTGCTTTTTGTGTTTTTAAAATATTTTTTTATTGATTTCAGAGAGGAAGGGAGAGGGAGAGAGAGATGGAAACATCAATGATGAGAGAGAATCATTGATTGGCTGCCTCCTGCACGCCTCCTACTGGGGATGGAGTGGGCAACCCAGGCATGTGCCCTTGACTGGAATCGAACCTGGGACCCTTTAGTCCACAGGCTGATGCTCTATCCACTGAGCAAACCAGCTAGGGCCCCATGTCGCTAATTTTGTATGGGCCTTTATTACCTCAGTATGATCTATGGTCTCCAAATGGGCTTTCTGGTTGGCCATTTACTCGCCTCCACACATGGCTATTAGAATCATCTTCAAGAATTGCTTCATGCATGGCTACCATCAACAAATCAACAAACGACAAGTGCTGGGAGAATGGGGAGAAAAGGGAACCCTCGTGCACTGCTGGTGGGAATGCAGACTGGTGCAACCACTATGGAAAACAATATGGAGTTTCCTCAAAACATTAAGTATGGAACTGCCATTTGACCCAGGGATCCCCCTTCTAGGAATATATCCTAAGAAACCCGAAACACCAATCAGAAAAAAATGTATGCACCCCTATGTTCATAGCAGCTCAATTTACAATAGCTAAGATCTGGAAACAGCCCAAGCGCCATCAGTAGATGAATGGATAGAAAAGCTGTGGTACATTTACCCCATGGGATACTGTGCAGCAGTGAAAAAGAAGGATCTCTTACCCTCTGAGACAGCATGGAGGGACCCAGAGAGTATCACACTAAATGAAATAAGTCAGTAGTCAGAGAAAGACAAGTATCCCATGATCTCACTCCTATGTGGAATCTAATTAACAAAATAAACTGATGGAGTGGATCCAGAGACATGGAAGCATGGAACAGAGGATGGAATCTCGGAGGGAAGGCAGGGGAGGGAGGTAATCAACCAAAGACCTTGTATGCATAGATGCATCACCCATTGTCACAGACAGTGGGGTGGTGAGTGCCTGGGGCAGTGGGCAGGGGTGGGCTGGAGGAGGTCTGTGGGGGAGCAAAGGGGGCATATGTAATACTTTCAACAATAAAGGTGTTTTTTTTTAAAAAAGAACTGCTTCATGCCACAGATGGGGAAAAATTCTTGCCTATTGTGTAACTTCTGATCACTCTCTTCCCTGGACATGCCTCCTCCTTCCCTGGTTCCTCCATCTTGCTCCTACCCATCACCTGCCGGGAACATGGTCTCCCATCTCCAAGGAAAATAGGCTTATTCTTCACATTCCAGCTCCTTGAAACGCCTAGATCACTCCAGCTGGAACTGATGGCTTATTCTGATCGCTTCAGGCACCCTTGCTGTCACTCGTTCACCACGATACCCCGTGTGGGGTGGTTTGTGTTTCATAGGGCTCCTCCTGGAGTGTGAGCGCCCTAATAACAAAGATGTCATGCCCTGACCAGTTTGGCTCAGTGGATAGAGCCTCGGCCTGCGGACTGAAGGGTCCCAGGTTCCATTCCAGTCAAGGGCATGTACCTTAGTTGCGGGCACATCCCCAGTAGAGGGTGTGCAGGAGGCAGCTGATCGATGTTTCCAACTCTCTATCCCTCTCCCTTTCTCTCTGTAAAAAATCAATAAAATTTTTAAAAAGAAAAAAAAAGACATTAAAAAAAACGTCTTAACCACCTTTCACCCCAGCGATGCCTGGCACTAGGGTGTCTCCCATGCCGGCATGGGGAAAAGTGATTTCCATGGACTGTCTGGTTTTCCGCCCCGAGCGCTTCCCTTTGGGCCTCCAAGGACAACACCAAAGACCAAGAACACGCTCAAGGGGATTCACAGAAGAACTGTGTGTCCGGCGAGCGCAGTAGAGGGCCCGGCGCGGCGGGCACTGACCTGCTCCAGCAGATAGATGAGCTGGTCTCGGGCCAGCCTCTTGAGCATGGAGAAGTCAGGCAGCTCTGGGGCGTCCGGCCGGTGGGGGAAAGCCATGGCCGCGGGGTGTCCGAAGAGGGTCGCCCTCCGCTCTCAGAAGGCCGGCACAGCCCCGGGTCAGCGCAGGGTGGCTCCTTCAGGGCTGGGCACGGAAGGGGCCCTCACTCTTCAGCTGCGCTCGAGGAATGAATGGCCACCTCCCGGCCAGACAGCGGCAGCCTCGGGACACCCTCGCCCCAGGCCTGCAGCCCGCCCCCCAGTCCCGACCCGGCCCTCCCTGCTCCACTCCGCCGGCGAGCGGGATTCCGGGCTTCCCTGCTGCAGAGAGAACACCGCCTTCTGACAGGCAGGAGCGACTTCCGGGACTTTCCGGAAGTCCCATTCGCTCGACCGGCGCTTTGTGCGCTGGGAAGTTGGACGGTGTCCGGGAAGGAACATTTAAAGCGGAAGTCAACGCGTTCACGTTCCAGTCTCATTTCTGGCCTGAGCGGAGTGTTCCTATAAAACCAATGTTGAAGGGCACACTCAATTCTCCCAGCGCACCAACGCGAGGGTTGGGCACTTACTCGAGTTTATCTTCCTACAATGGGTGAAACCAATTAAAGCTGAAGGGCGCTGATCATTGGGGATCTTTACTTCAATCAAACCTACTCCTCTAGCCTTCCGAGCTGCAGGAGAGATGCGGGCTGATGGAGGAGGAATTAGGTGGAGGGAATAGAAGAATGCTAAGTCCCGCTGGCTGTGACCTTTGGGTACTGGAGTTTTGACTTATTGCTGCCATTTGTGGGAAAATAGGTAAACTGTGGCATGTTCATAAAAACAAATGAATAAATGAAAGCCAGAACAAGAGTGACATCAGTATGTCATTTATGTAAGGTTATAGAACAGGCCAAACTAAGCTAGGTTGAAAATTTTTCAGAAAAGTGATTGACTTTGGGATAATTGACTAGAAAGAGAATTTAGGGAATTTTTCAGGGGTGATGGAAATTGTATCTGTTTAGGGGGGAAAAAAGCTTATGAGAGACCTAAGGGATAGAGCCGCTGAACTCACTAATCAACCATAACATCACATCCTCATCTGGTGAGATGCATAGAGCATCACCCATTGCCAAAAACTGAGACCTGATCAAGCCTCAAGACCGAGCTATCAGTTCATAGGAAATAGAGGGTAGTGACATGTTAGAAGACATCATGCAGATGAAATATAATGCAGACATTTTATGGGATAACCTGTCAAATGGTGAGGGGAATGAAGTGGAAGGGGAAACCATTTTAGAATGAGACTTCTGGAACATACCAACACAATGCAATGTTACAGTGCGGACCTTGTTTGGACCCTAATGGGAAGAAATAAACCATAAAAACTGTTTAAAAAACAATCAGAAAATGCTATCGGGATATTAGCTACAATTAAGGAATTACTAGAACTTAACACATTGTAGACGGATCACGAGAATTCTCGTTTCATATTACAGTGTTTTACAAAGTATCATACTTCAAAAAGATATTAGTTTGTAAGAACATATAACTTCAAAATGCAATGGGTAATTTTAAAGCATGCCTTTAACATTTATGTAAAACGTTTTTTATATTCGTCCAATAGAAATTTATCTGGCCACTGGGTAAAGCTAGCAATGTGTTGTTATAATAATGGCTTATGTATCTTTGTTAAAAAGGAGTCCTTATGCCCAGCTGGCATGGCTCAGTGGTTGAGCATTAACCTATGAACCAGGTCATGGTTCAGTTCCCAGTCAGGGCATATGCCCGGGTTGATGGCTCTATCCCATGTGGGGCATGCAAAAGGAAGCTGATGGTGCAGAAGGCAGTTGATCGATGATTCTTGCATCATTGATGTATCTCTCTCTCTCTCTCTACCTCTCAAATCAATAAAAAAATATTTTTAAGAGTCCTTATGTCTTTGAGATACATATTTAAGTACTTATAAATGAAATATGATGTCTGGGGGGAATGTGGGGCAAATATGAGATAATGAAAAGATTGGCCATTTGTTAAATGTAATGCTGTGTGATGGGTACACAGTTCATTGCATTACAATATTCTTCCTACTTTCGTAGGTTTGAAAAATTCTATAAGATTAAGCAAAAAATACTTTTGTGCTCAGAGGTTCAAGAGCTCATCTAGAATTTTATACTGAGTTTCCCCCACACCTCCCTTGCACTGAATCTCAGCTGCAGAGGTGAAGGCTACCCTGAACAGACCACACATATGCCCCCCCAGAGCTCAGGGACTTAAGTCCCTTCTGTTGTCCAGTTTGCCAGGCTCTTGAGCTTAGACTCAAAGTCTCTGCTGGAGATTCCTTTGCCCTTATCTTCCTCCCCATGTTTAATGACAACGAACCCTTTGCCTCACCCCTTCCCTTCCTCTTTGATTCACAGGTAAACCCTCCCACCCCACAGAACACCAATCAACAGACGGCTACATTTCACTTTATTTTGCACAAAACGGATACAACCAATTGACTAAGCAGCTCTAGAACTGTTAGTGTTCCTTAATCAAGAAGTAAATGATGTCAGAAGGAAAACTTTTCAATTCCTCCCAAACACATATTGCAAATACAACGAACTCCTAACACATGCGGCACAGGCTGATTTTGACACATAGAAAGCCTCAGCAAGAAGGGTGAGTACTGAATACCCACATGGGTCAGACCAGGAGCCATGCTCTAGGAGCTAGCTAGACTATACCTAGCCCGTTATTCACGCTGCCCGCATATACATCTGCCCTGTGAAGTTCACTGTCCCTTGTCAGATTGGAATCCAAGCAGCTCCCTCCATTTCCAGGCTCATCACTTCCAAGGTGGATAATCCACACACAGAAATCCAGGCAGCTCAAATATACTCGCTCAGCTGTGTTTTACGTGACATCTCCCAAGCCAGGCTCCAGTTCAAATTCTGTACAGGAAGTTCCCATTGTCGTCAAAGAACTCTCGCCCCCTCTGCACGACCTTGCTGCTGAAGTTCTGGTCACCCAGTTCTCTTGCCCTCAACTCTTTCAGCTTCTGCGCACTTGGCAATCCATCACTGCCAGTGCCTCTGGTGCCCTCACAATCGCTGGTGGAGAACTTCTGCAGCACTCTCTGATGACCTTGGGCTGCAGCAACAGGCACAAAGCTTTCCTTCTCCAGGCTCTGGACTCCTTTATTCCTTCCCTTCTGTCTCCTCGGAGTGTTTGTACTCTGAGTATTCGGTTCTATCACCTTCAAAGCTGTGCTGTGACCTTGGCCTTGGGATGAGGCTTCACCTCCTGACACGGGGTGGCCTGCAGAAAGCAGCTTCCAGGTCTCCCCAGGGCCTGGAAGCTGGCGGAGCGAGGGGGCAAGCCCAGCTTTCTTAAGGACTTTTTGATCCTGCTTCAGTTTCTTCTCCAATGTGGGGGTACAAACTCTTTTTAAAACCCTTCTGATCACATCGGTGCTAACAGCAAAGCCTTCAGCCAATCTGGGAACTGACCAGGACTCTGGAAATTCTTCATGTAAATACCTATAGGAAAACGAAGCAGTTTTCAAGTTGTCAAAAAGTATCCTATCAGAATAGCTAACTGATTATTAGTGATAAATACGTGAGAAGAAGAGGTACAAACATAGGCTGTGTTGCATTCCTGTGTGCTAACACCAACACCCAACCACTCTAAGTCCACAGTAGAGCTGGTCTGAAAGGATGAAAAGGAGTAATAAGCTGACAGAGGGGAAGAGAAGAGATCAAAAGTACTGACGGTACAGCGAGTACATGAAATGCAAAGAACATCACGTTCGTGGGGAATAGCTCAACTTGTCAGACAGTACGGGCAGGAGCAAAATCATGCCATACTTAGGAGTCTGGTGTTTACCCCAAATCAACAGCAAACCAAGGAAGGCTTTTAATCAGTGGAATGCCATGAGCAAATTTTCATTCTGAAGATCAATCCAGTGGCAGTTTCTCAGTGGCAAGACTAGAGGCAAAAGGCTATCAGAATAATCCAGGTAGTATGAACTGAGGCGGTGGCAATGAGAGCAGAAAAAGGAAGAGACTTCAGAAATGCTCAGGAAGGGCAAGTGGTAAACTGGGTTAAGGGACTAAATATTGGGGGAGGAAGCAGATTCAGGATTTTAGCTTGGGTGATTGGTGGGATTATAGCAGAAATAGGAGCAGAATTAAATTGTCAGGGAACAATGACAAATTCTATTTTGTACATGTTGAGTTTGAGGAGCCTGTGTCACATCCAGAGGTATCTAGTGCACAGTTGAATATACAGAGTTCAGAAGGAAAACATGGACGGAAAATGATGGCTTACACAGCAAAGGCTGTTAAGCCATGTGGGTGGCTGCCATCAGGCAGGGAAGTAGGCAGAGTGAGGTAAGTGACCGAGAAGACAATTCTACAAAACAGCAATATTTAAGAAACAGGAGGAAGAGAGGGGTGTTCAGAAAGGAAACAAAAGCAGCCCTAGAAACAGCAGTGAGGAGTAACTGGGTCAAGGGAGAAGAGAATTTTATGACAGCAAACTACAAGGTCAAATGCTGCAGAAATGTTAGAGAGCCTAAAGACTAGATGATCAGTTATGCCTAGCATGTAAAAAAAGTCACTGATAGATTTGTGGAGAATGGTTTCATAGACCCAAAAAAAAAAAAAAAGCAACAACAACAAAGATAGGCAGCCTACTGGGAACAAAATAAAGAACTTAAAATGACAGATGTCGGTTCCTGAGGAATTAGGGAGGGATAGGACCTAGCGCACACATAAGACTGGTCCTAGACAAGTGAAGGGCTACTGTTTCCTCCGAGATGTAAATAGTGCAGGACTGAGATGGAAAACGAGAGGGAGGACCAAGCAGCTTTAATGGACACCCACTTAATGGCCCGTTTTTTCTTTGAAGTAAAAGGACATTTATAGACCACATTCATAGGTCTGACAGGGAGGAAATTTTGAAGAAGCTGTTGTTCAAGACAGAGGAGGAAGCCAATGCAAGAGGCACTACAGCCCTGACTTGTGTGGCTCAGTGGACAGAGCGTCGGCCTGCAGACTGAAGGGTCCCAGGTTCGATTGCGGTCAAGGGCATGTACCTTGGTTGCGGGCACATCCCCAGTAGGGGGCGTGCAAGAGGCAGCTGATCAATGTTTCTCTCTCGTCGATGCTTCTAACTCTCTATCCCTCCCGCTTCCTCTCTGTAAAAAAATCAATAAAATATATATTTTTTAAAAAAGAGGCACTACAGGTCCACAGTCTTCCTCTTCTTTTTTTTTTTTAATCCTCACCTTAGGATATTTTTCCATTGATTTTTAGAGAGAGTGGAAGAGAGAGGGAAAGACAGAAATATCAATGTGAGAGAAACACATTGAATAGTTGCCCCCTGCACTCTCCCTGGCCAGGGCTCCAGCAGGGAAGGAGCCTGCCACCCAGCTACGTGCCCTGGACCGGAATCAAACCTGGGACCCCTTGGTCCACAGGCCGATGCTCAATCCGCTGACCCAAATCGGGCCACAAAGTCTTCTTGATCGGCTCTCCAGGATCTTTATTTTAAGTCTCAATTTCAGAGTCATTCTGATGGAAATGAAAAATGGCACGTAAACTCACGGAGAGCTATTTAGCAATATTTATCAAAATGCAAAATCTATCTGCCCTTGGACCTAGCACCCCTACTTTTGGGAATGTATAAACAACTACGCCTGGTAGATATCCATACTAATAAAAGGCTAAGTAGTTGTCACGCCCTCACGCATGAGGCCCTCACAACGTCACTAGATGGTTGCGTGCACAACGGGGGGCCTCGGTGGCCGCTCCACATGGCTTCCACCCGGGCTCCCACGGCCCGGCGCACCTGCTGCAGAGGTGGGACCCTGGCTCGGGCCTACCTCTTTGGGGTAATGGATCGCGGGGCTCCCACGCTGTGCGAGCCAGGCTGAGGGACTACAACCCCATCCCCCAGTGCATGAATTTTGTGCACCGGGCCTCTATTACGGTATTATAATGGATGTACAGTTAGGCACTAGAGCACCATCTGTGATGGCAAAAGTGATTGGCAACAACCCAGGACCCATCATAAAAGACTGGTTAATAAACTACGACTAACTATGACTTCCATAAAACTCTTCTGAAGCGAAAAGACATTAAATGAAAAAAAGTACAGGTAGTATGTATTTATAGTCTTCTACTGTCTGATTAAGGTGAAAACAAACACCTATATTCATAATCACTATATCTGCACAAGGAGACCTGGCAAAAGGCCCCCAAAAAACTATTCAAAACACCACCCACAGGAGCCTGGCTGGGGTTAATACTTCTCAATATGTAAACCACATTATTCTGTCCTAATTTCAAACCACGTCATCTATTCAAAACAAAACAAAAAAACTTTAAAATTTAAGAAAGGATCTCTCTAAAGATTTTCTAAAAAAAGAGAGAAAATAATTCTAAATTAAGGGTTCTCTCCTCAGAAAAATGCGCACAACCATGGAAGCTCTCATCCCTGGATCTTAGGTGAGGAACGTCCTGATTTCCTATTTGGGGTTTAAATGTCGTGATGTCTGCAAACGCCTATACGAAAGATTTCAGCAAAATAAACCAACTGTGTCACAATGTTAAAAGCTATTAAATCAAGATGACGGGATTATGGAAGCTTGTTATATAGTCTTCAAGAAAATTTAAGTAATAAAAAATAGCCCTAACCGGTTTGGCTCAGTGGTTAGAGCGTCGGCCTGCGGACTGAAGGGTCCCAGGTTCGATTCCGGTCAAGGGCATGTACCTTGGTTGCGGGCACATCCCCAGTGGGGGGCGTGCAGGAGGCAGCTGATCATGTTTCTCTC